AGGCCAAACAAAGTAGTTTCGCTTTCACAATGAAGCACACAGCGTCTTCACGACATGGCGGCGGCGGCGGCGGCAACAACAATACTACAGCGAGAATCAAAGGAGGGCGTGGTTGACTCAACTTTTTTTTTATAAAGCATATCTCTTTGGATTTGAGACTTTAGTCTTTGCAACTTTACAGATCTTCTTTATGCACCAAGAGCTTGTAACACTCCAAAGAGAAAAGAAACATTTAAATCGCATCATATGACCCCTTTAAAGGAGCCTCCTAAGCCCTGAATGGGACTTTCAGTAAAATAAGCTGGTTTTTACAAAGCCATTTTTTTTCAATTTCAAAGTGATGAAATAACCTGTTGGAGGTATTGCAGTGGTTTGTATGCAGCACTTTTACATTTAACTTATCCTGAGAAGTGCCTGGAGGACTTCTGCTTAACTGCACAGGCACATCATTTAAAAAGCATATGAGATTGTTTCCGTTAGGGATGCTCCGATCCGCCTTTTTCGCCTATAGTTTGTTGTATCTGGAAAGCCTTAAAGGAAAGCCATGGATGTCAATGGGCGCTTCGCTTGTAAAATAAAACCAACATTGCACTCGAACCAAAAACAGCATTCCAGGATTACAACATCCAGGAAGAGCAGTCACCATCTGCTACGGTTTATGAAATCGATTTCTAATGATCTTTTACTGTCCCCTTCCCCTGTCATTTTTTTAAAAGATTAGTTAATCCAAAAATGAATTCTGTCATTTATTCACCCTCATGTCATTTCAGACTTTGGTTTCTTGTACACAAAAAAAAAGATGTTTTGAAGAATGTTCACTCTGCTCTTTTCCATACAGTGTCCTTTGTCAAAGTCATACAGTCTACTTTGACAGTTTTCCATACTAGACAAAGTATGACCTCTAAAGTCATGCAATAGCTTTTTATGAGGAAAAAGATACAACCACAGAAATTCTTCCCCTAAACCGCAGCGTTAAGGTTTTGAATTAGCTTTTATTTTTGTTTTCATTAAAATTTTATATGATGATGAAGTAATTTGTTGTCTTTTTTTTTTATTAATTTAGTTTGTTTCATTGAATTTGCTAATGCATTTTATCTAATATAACAGATGTAGTTTTAGTTCACAGTGACAACACTGCACTGCTGTCAAGTTTTATTTGCACTTTTACATTTTAAACTAAGTTTAAAGTGTCGCAGTTGACACTTTCATTTTTCTGTGAAATTTTCATATATTACATTACATCTCTAGCCTTCCAGTTTGTTAGCATAAGCTCACTCCCCTATAAGGTTGGACATGTGGAAATGTGATATAGTAGCTTACTGCTGATTTTATAAGCAGCCAGAACAAATCCGAGCAGAGTACAGCCTCTTCATTGTGACAGCACCTCATGCCAAATACTACACTACTATCTGTCTGATTGGTGTGTGACTCACTTGAATTCGACTGACCAGTCACTAGCGGTTTTATTTGGTTTGCTGGACCTTTGCCTTTAGTGCTGATTTGAGATCCGTTTTGAAGAACTCGACAGTAAGAATCCGATACGAGAAGCTGTTTATAGATGA